CTGAGTGAGGAGACACTATCATGTTATTTTTTTATATTATAGCCATATCACTTTGAACATCCTTACTGCTAGTCATCTGCCTTCCAGCTGTCCCTGCCCCATCTCACCTTCCATCACTTTTCCTGTCCAGTGATTAGAGTGATCTTTTTTAAGCTCTAAAATATAATATTATTTAAGGTCATCAACTGTCAACTCTCATTTGTCTGTTGGGAATTACTTTTAGCAGCACCTCTGAGTGTGTATTCAAAATGGATTTTCCCTTCAGCTAAAGTTCATCTCCTTCCTCAGAATTTGTTTCACATTGTTTCTCTTTCTACTAGTGAACATAGCATATCTGACCGGTATATTTTGTATGCTCTTCTCATTGAATAAATTATGTTCTTGATAAGGATCAGGAGCATTTCTTTTCTTCTTTTGATCTCCGTGCACTTTTGTAAAATGTGGTCATGTAGTAAGTGTTTTTTAACTGAATCTAATGTTATTCCCGTGGAATCAGACATCCTGCCCTGATTGACTGGAGTTGCCAAGAACATACTCATTAGAATTGCAAAATCAAGGCAGCTATTTAGAAGGAAAAAAGTCTGGCAAGCAAGGTTGGAAAGAGTAGCAGGCATGGAAATAAATGCTGGAAAGAGCAATCATGTCTTTTTGGGCACAAGGTGGCAGGCTATAACCATTCCAGTCATCACACATAAAGGAGCTTTGTGAGGCTGAAATTTTCTGTCCAACTTTGGAAATCTGCTTAATTTTTTTTTTAAAGTGAAGCTAGTACAGCTTGATGGCTGAGACCTGGGTTTAGAAAAAGCACAGACCCACTCCCATTGACTGATGCTAGGCCATGCTGCTGGGACTCTGCTTCCTTTATTTTGAACTAACCCTCCCGGTCTGCATCCCAGAACAGTTGTTAAATCATTTCTAGAGTCCCTTAAATGGATGAAGAAAATGTGAAGATTGTGTTTTGAAATATCCACAAGCTCTCAAGCTTGGAGAGGAAAGAGTCTAACCAGAGAATTGAGATGCACAGCTTCTCCACTAGGTGGCAGACTAGAACAGAAAAGCTTTGGAAGCCCCTGCCTGTCATATCAAAGAAAATACTCATTTTCTATATCAGCTCATCATTTTCTTTATAAGGCCAAGTGTCGGTCATGTGATCAGACAATTCATATGTACTAGTCCAATATAATCTGGGATATAAGGAGCAGGATGGTTTCCATTCATTTTTCTGCAATTCAAGTTCTGATATAGTTTTCATTTCATTCATTGTCTCGTGTGTGTGTGTGTGTGTGTGTGTGTGTGTGTGTGTGTGCGTGCGCGCACAAAAATTTTCTTTCATTAAAAAAATTGAAGTGCTTGGGCCTCTCCGGTGGCGCAGCGGTTGAGCGCTGCGTTGCGAAGCTGCCCGCAGCCTCTGCAGCGCGGGTTCGATCCCCGGCTGCTCCCCGGCCACTGGAGGAGGGTCCCACATGGTGCGCAGACCTCTCCTGCCGCCCACTGCTCCCCTCAGCAGTGTACTTTGGTCCTTCTGCCTGCTCTGCTCCCCGCTCTGGCTCTGGTGAATTCTCTCACCCTCCGGCGCTTCTGACTGTATCCAGTGCTTGTATAAATAAATAAATAAATAATATTTTTTAAAAAAATTGAAGTGCTAAGATTAGTTTATTCTGGAATTGTGATGGCAACTAATTATTAGGTGATATGTTAAGTCTTTCTGTTGACACTGATTTCTGTTAACCTTAAAAGATGGAGAACAAATGAGGAAAAAAGATATTCCTTGTTTTATAGAGCTTCCATATGATCCAGCAATTCCACTCCTAGGTCTTTACCCAAAGGACACAGAAACATCCATTCCAAAGAGCACCTGCACCCCTATGTCTATAGCAGCACTATTTACAATAGCTAAGCTTTGGAAACAGCCCGAATGCCCCAAAATAGATGACTGGATCAAGAAGATGTGGTACATATATACCATGGAATATTACTCAGCATTCAAAAAAGATAAACACATGCAATTTGCAGCAACATGGATGGCGCTGGAAGGGATCATGCTCAGCGAAATAAGCCAAAAAGAAAAAGAAAAATACCGGATGGTCTCACTCATAGCAGGAATCTAGAAAACTTAAATAAGGGACCAGGAAAATGAATAACTATAAGAAAGTGAAAATCAAAATCAACAAAAAACTATGAACCAGAGACACTTTTTGGGGGGTGAGGGGCGGGAAGGGAGGGATTGGGGTCAAAATAAGGGGGTTGCAATTGTATGGGGAATATAAAAATAAAATTTATTATTTAAAAAAAAAAGATATTCCTTGTTTTCAGGTTCTACCTGGCATTCCTTTCAACTTCTTTCTTGTTATACACATCCTTATAATATTCATATGTGCATGAATAGATATACATACTCTTCACATACATATTTTTGAGTATATTCATACATTCATATTTATATAATGTATTTATGCATATCTGTGTGATATGTGACAGTAAAATGAATGTTTCAGAGCAAAGATTCTGGAGCTTGACTGCCTGGATTCAAGTCTTAGCTTACTAACTGGAACACTTGCTTGCAATTCTTTACCTCCATTTCCTCACCTATAAATTAGGGATAATGATAATTTGTTCCATGACTTATATTGCAATTTTTATTTAGTAAAATAAGCACCTTCTCTACTTAATCTGAGAGGTTAGAATTTTGGAAGGTGTCATAATGTTGTGTTGTTATCTGTTTATATTTGTGTTTTTTTATATATAGGTTGTTACTCTACCTTTCTTCTCTTGATCTGTCTCATTTAGAAAACTATCAGGAATGAAATGTTGTATCAATTAGTAATTCAATTCACCGATCAATAACAAAAACAGCTTCAAACAGTTGCCTGCAAATGGAGAATTGTTTTACTCACAAAATATCCTGGAGGAAAGAGAATATGGAGCTGGTCTAGTGGCATCTCTGTGATTATTTTGTCTTTTTATATTAGAAAACCCACACTTCTCCTGTGTGTCTTTTTTTACTCGCACATCATAATCACACACTTCTCACACCAAGTTGTGGTTTTTTTTTTTTTCACACCAAGTACTTCTGTGACACCCACTGCAGTGTCCTCCAATTTGTCTCAATTCTGACACTCTGTGCTTGGAAAGAATATCAGATTCCAGAGGTTAAGAATTGATTCCCACCAGGCTGCATTACAACCCCACTTCAGACACCAGTTTCCATAATCCCCTCCTTGATTTAGTTTAGTTTTCTAGAACAGCTCACAGAACTCAGGAAAACAATTTATTCCCTATTTACCTTTATTTTAAATAGGAATTATAAAGGATGCAGATGAACATCCAGATAGAAGGGATGCATAAAGCAATGTATGTAGTGGGGTACAGACTTTCCCTGGCCTTGCGGGCCTGCCCTTCCCCCTAGCACAATGTTCACCAATCTGACAGGTCTCCAAACCTTTTATTTTGGGGTTTTGGGACGCTTCACCACATAGGCATGATCAATTTCTAACTCCATTTCCAGGCTTTCTCCCCTATCTAGAGAATGGGTGGGAGGACTAAAAATTACAAATTAATCATGACTAGGTCTTTCCAGTGATCAGCCCCAATCAAGATCCACTCAGAGTCACCCCACTGGAACAGACATTACTATCACCCAGGACACCACCAGGAATCTAGGAGTTCTGTGGCAGGAACCAGGATGGTGACCAACATATATGTCGAAATATAAGTATGATTTTACATTTTCCTTTGCTACCGTTGCACCTCCAGGCATGTGTTAAGTTGCGCAAAGAGTAGGGTAAGAAAAGAGGAAGGGTAGTGCCACCAGCTATGTAAGTTTTTAGTAGTAGGAAGAACAATAGCCTCCAGAACTCTGCTCCCTCCCTTACCGAGAGAATCGGGTCTGATTCTCAGAATGGTGGTATCACAGGTCCTTAGCTGGAAAAGCATTGCACAAAAGGTCAGGAGGAAGAAATTGACTGGAGATGACTTGGGTTCAGCCAATGAATAATATCTGCCACAGCAAGTTTTGGTCTTGGTTCTACATTTGTGTGTTTCTCTTCACATCCTCCCTGCTGTCCTCCCTCCACCCCACTCCCGTCTTTGTCTGGAAGGAGATAGAACTGAGAAAAGTGTTAACACGGAGATTCATTTCAGGAAATGAAAGGCGTCTTATGAAAAGTTATGCAAATTTTGCAACAGAGAAAAGAGCATAGGAGGCTATAAAGTAGGTGTATTTGTGAGAGCACAGTTCGTTCAGAGGAAATCCTGGCTTCAACCAAGTAGCATGAGGAACACTTCCAGGGTTTATTCAGTGGATTAATTCCGAACATTACCTTTGCCAGAGGCACAACCAATCTTGTTACCTCTAAAATGAAGCACCACAGAATACCAGAATTTCATAGATCATTTAATTACAGATGATCATGTGATAGATATTTTTATTGGCATGTCTACAGTTCAAACAACTGATAAGAAGGCTTTTGTGACATAAACTATTGATATTTTTAAATGATGCTTATTCAAATGTTATATAGCCCATAAATTCTTAATGAGTTTATTCCTTAAAGCAAAATAAGCCAGAAAGAAAAGAAAAATGCCGGATGGTCTCACTCATAGCAGGAATTTAGAAAACCTAAATAAGGGGCCAGGAAAAAGACTCATTATAATAAAGTAAAAATCAAAATCAACAAACAACTATAAACCAGAGACACACTACGGGAGAGGGAGGGAGGAGGGATTTAGGGTCCAGATAAGGGGGTTGGGAATTGTATGGGGACTATAACCAAGAAGAAAATGCATACATGCAAAATGCAAAATGCATACATGCAAAGTGCAAAAATGAAAATGATGTAAAAATATATAAAATAAAATAAAAAAAGAAATAAAGGCCCTATTAACATAAAAAAATGATTATGACTGAATAGAACTTTATACTGTGACCCTTACAATAGTGATGATTCTCCCCAAGAGGCAGGCTTCTTGGCTTATTCAATTCTCTGCTATGTCCTCTTTCATATGCTCTGCTATCAGGTGGCTCCTATCAACCAACAACTCATAGATGATTAAGGACTCGAAACTTCATTTTGCTGGGAGTTTCCAGTGTGCTAGTCACCCTCACTCTCACTTGAACTGTCACTTTCAGATGATTCACTACTGTCCTGCTTTCTAGAGAAGCTGAGCCTATTGGAGTGGGGCTTTCTGTGGCCCCAGGAGCCTTTCCTCTGTGGTACACCTGTGTTCCCTGTAGAAGTATTTTGTCTGTGGGGTACATAATGACCTTGTCTCTTGTGTGGTGCTGTATTGGGGTCATTATGGGAACTTATTTCATTTTTAATTTCATTATCAAGACCATGGGAAGAAATGAGCTCCTGACTTTTGCCCTTACTAGGAAATCTTTGGTTTTTACTTGAGGTCTCTTGATTCCTACTAGAATTTTCTATACCTTTTCTACTACTATCCTGGCCCTTTTTTTGAATCTCATTATCATGAGTACTTTTCATTACATCACCACCATCTTCTTTTCTTTTCTCTTTTGAGGGGGCCTGAGGGTAATGAAACTCTACTTGCCCCTGGTGAGCATTTTGGCTGTTGCCATCTACTCTGTTCCCTTCTTTTCCAGGGAGTTCTTTAAAATTGGTGATACCTGTGATATCATTTCTGCCTTCCACCAAGCTTATTTCAGCAGCATTTCCTTCTTTCTCTGTTTTATCTTTGATTCTGATGCTATTCCTGCCATTTTCTTCTTTCTCTGGGAGCTCATTATAACCTAGTCCTCTCATGTCCAAATTATTAGTCTCAGGTTCACTTGGGCCAGAATACCCTGTTTGAGTATCTGTACCTCCTAGATCAGGATGAAGAGTTTCTCCTTTACCAAAAATATCTTTAAAAGGTTGGCCATCTCCACTGAAAGGAGAGATATCGTTGTCTCCTCTGCTGTGAAGATCTGGGTAACTACTGCCTTCGAAATCACTGGTGATCTTTTTGATCTTTGGGAGTTGCTTTAGATAGTCAGCGTTGGGTTGGATATGATGAGTACTTTTGCTTTTTACTGGATTATTCTGGGTTTGGGGATCTCTTTGATGATTCTTCTTATCTTTTGAGGGGGGTTTAGCATAGTTTGCATCTGCCAGAATTTTGCTTAGAACATTCTTGGACTTTTTCTCTTTGTTTTCTTCCCTCAAAAGTTCAATCACAGTAACTGGCTCTATTCTATGTTGAATATTATGTCTGATGAAAGCTGTGCCATATTCTTCTTGCTCATGCAGTGTGTTGGTAGCATTGTCTCCATCCTCAACCCCAGCATCCTCAGTAGACTCAGGCAGAGTGGCCATATTTAGGTCATCATAGGGATTTTCTTTGTTGCTAATGTGGTAGCCCTCATTCATTGTCTGTCTGTTTTCAAAAAGATGGGGGTATTTACTACTTTGGTTATTTTCATTAACTCCAAATAAGGACACATCTTTCTCTCTTTTCTGAACAATGGATTCTTTAGGTGTTGGTCCTTGAAGTCTTCTCTTGTCAAACTGGTGAAGAGCAAGATTGTCTTTGTTTCTTTCTTCCTGATAAAGTGTAATTTTCAACACAAAGTAATTATTTTATGTTAAAAACTTAAACATCTAACAATTCTTAAGCAATATAAAAAAACCAACCACTAGTACTCAATAGAGGTTTGCTAGTAGAGATAATAGTGGAATAGACAGAGCAGGTTTTATGGCAAAAGAAGGATGAACAAGGTTTGAAGGATAAGTAACATTCAAATACATGGAAGGGAAATGATGGAATTATTTTAAGATTAAGTGGCATAGTCAAATGTTTGGAAACAGGAAGGATTTGAAAGATAATATGGTACTTTATGCTTGGATTCAGGAAATCCTAAAGAAGTGAATAAGACAAAATCTGGAAATACTGATTAGGGTCTGAATTGGAAAGAGGACCTGAATTTAAGGAGCACAGAGTTTGGTCCTCCTCTTGTGACTAGTGAGTCATTGTAAGCAAAATGGAGTCATACTTATAAAAGTATTATTCTCTCTCTCTCATTTTTATTCTGGTCTTCAGAGTAAAACCTACACAGAAGATTTTCTTTTCTTCTTTTTTTTTTATAGAAAATAATTCAAATATAAGAATCTGGTAATACTTAGTTTTTGATATTCAATCAAAAGATTTTGCAACAAGTGTTGCTGTCCCAACTGTTGACTGTCAAAGTATTTATTGATTTTCTTTTCTTCCCTTGTTGTCATACAATAAATCAAATTGAATAATCGAGATCAATAGTTCTCAAATTTAGCACTTATCAGGACTATTTGGAAGGCATGCTAAAGCAAAGTCTGTTGAAAACAACGCCAGACTTTCTGATTTAGTAGGCTTGGTTGGGGCTCTAGAATTTGCATTTAGAAAAAGTTGTCAGCTGTGGTGGGCACTGCTGATGTGTAGACCACATAAGTGTAAATAAAGACAATCCAGACCAGAAATATACTCAGGAGAATAATGGGATGAAAAAGAGAAAGTGGAGGAGAGTAAGTTTTTATGCATGTATCTCAATATACCCTTTTTTGGGGGGTGGGGAAATGAGGTCTATGAAGGTGCTGCCTCAGAGGGTGTGCCTTACCAACTAGGGGTACAGCCAAACTGAATAATCTTGACAGAATAATGTTGTCAGTAAGAAAGGGGCTAAGCTTGACTTTGCTCATGCCACTCACTGTTTCTCAGTGGAATGGATATATATGGAAATGTTTGAGGGTCTGTTCCAGAGCTTTCCACAGGGTGTCACAGTGGAGAGAGCAAGGGGCTCCAAATGTAAAGGAAACATACACACTTGGGACAAATACAAGTCAGATTCAAATATAGACGGGTCTAAATTGTCCGTGAGAGCCAAGAGAACCCCAAATCATCCCTGGGCCTCAAACAAGACTGTGCTATTTTGATTGTAAGATGTGGTAGCCAGTAACTTCATCTCGGGATAGCCTCAAGGCAAACAGCTCACAATTGTTACCATGAGGACTCCATGTCTTCCTCTCCACTATGGTGGGGACCGTGTTTATACACGTAGCATGTGGTATGCCATAGGTGATATAAGCTGGACCCTGCTCCCTCATATACCTGCTGTCACCTTAGAGACAGAAGGAGGGAAGGCAAGGATCTGGGCAGTTTTATCCAAAAGAGACTAAAGAATATACTTAGAACTATTTCCATTATTAGACAAACTCAAGTTTAAATAAGTTGATTTAAATTAATTCTTGCATGTTATCTTGCCCTTCCATTAACCTTTGGGGAGGAGTTTTTGAACATCAGAACAATTATAGACAAAATAAATGCCATGTTTTCTCTCTACCTCCAAATTGTAGGTTGTACTAAAATTTCCAACACCTCTACAAAGCCTTGGATATTTGTGTAATACAAAGTCTAATTAAGAGATATTTATTAAGGGACCAGGCCATGTAAGAAATTAGTCAGGGGACTGCATGTTCTACGTAGAGGTAACCTGGTGACATGTTGAATGACAGAGGTAATAATCCTGTGGGATAATGAGACTGAAGGTGGGGCAGCGGGGCAGAGAACTCATGTACCGTTGGGGTTTGCACAGACTGCAGAGTGCTGGGATGTCAGGTTTTGTCTTGAGAAATGAAGAGTTAGTGAAGATTTATAGGCAAGAGTTAACAAAATAAAATAAAAGGCTTAGGAGGAATCGTGGTAACAAAGAGCAGTTATGGAAGTTGCTGCAGAGTCCAAGAATGAAATGCAATCACTTGGATTAGGATTATGACAAAGAAAATCATGACAAAGAAAAATAACCCTCTACTGATGTCTAAATAAAAGGGTTAGTGACAAACATGGACTGGAAGACTGACATACAAAAAATGAAAACAAAATGAAAGAAAAGATAATGACTGCTATTAAACATATTGTTGTTGGGAGGGTATAGAGCCTGAGTTTAAAAAGAAATAGCTACTTAGGGATTTGGGTCTCACAGCCTCTCAAGGGTCACTGAATGCCAGTCTTTCCCAGTTTACATGACCTCTTTGAACACTTTATTGGTAAATTGCTCATTACTTTTCATGTCAGATCCCTTTACCACTGGCTAGTTCTAATTTTGGGAATTTTTTTTTTTTTTTTTTAAATCTGCAGCTGAAGCATTGTCAAATACTAAGAGAAGTTTAACCTTCCTTTGTTCACATTTATGTGGGTAAAATGTTATTAATATGATACTCCAGAAATTGTATTAAGTTCCTAGAAATGTCACTTCCCTAGTTGTCCATACCTTGGTGCTATTTTGCCTTATATTAGATAGCATCAGTATAATGTTATGTCATAATTCCAGTTTTTATTTTAAAATCCTGTGTCTCATGGAAACAACCAAATGTACTTGTCAATTGCATTACTTTTGTAATAAACTTTCATTATATCTTTAAAACAAAATCTGCAGCTGTAAGCGGTATCCACTTTTTCCTGATGTGACAATTATTAAACTTATTCCCTCTTTTACATGCAATCAGTCACTCAACTCTGCCATTCATGAACTGTGTGATCCTGGAAGCCTTGGTTTCCTTCTCTGGGCCTCAGCTAAGAAAATAGCTGTTAAGGGGCCTCCCCTAGTGGCACAGTGGTTGAGCACTGGGCTGCGAAGCTGCCCGCAGCCTCTGCAGTGCCAGTTCGATCCCTGGCTGCCGGAGAGGGTCCCACATGGCACACAGAGCTCTCCTGCCATGCCCACTGCTCCCCTCAGCAGTTTACTTCGGTTCTTCTGCCTGTTCTGCTCCCCACTCTGGCTCTGGTGAATTCTCTTACCCTCCCGCACTTCTGACTGTACCCAGTGCTTGTATAAATAATAAATAAATCTTTAAAAAAAATCGCTGTTAAATAAGAAAAATGACACCTACCTTTCAGGCTTGTTTGGAGAATTAAATGAATTGAATGATTTTATTAAATGCAGGTTAAAGCATTTAGTGCAATCTCTATTTTAAAATAAAGTTATATAAATGATGGTAATGGTTATTTCATACAGCACTGCTTATGGCCCCTTACCAAGTGGTAGTTTGCTGTCCTACATAATGCTGACAATAGTCATTTGACTAGCAGATACAAAGCTGTTCTCCCATCTCTGTGTTTGTCTAACAAGTAGTGGCAGATGGAGATGGACTGATTTCAGAAGCCTCTGTCCATGTAATACATGAGCAATGCCACCCTCTTTTTATGACATCTATAAGCTTGTGGTCCCTGATTCTACGTTATCTAAAATGAATTTTGATGGGATGCTTTCTCTCTCTCTCTCTCTCTCTCTCTCCTCCCATCCCCCCAATCTGATATCCAAACAGTAGGATTTCTTGTCTAGGAGAAGATTGCCAGACTGCCTGCTTTTATACATACACTATTAGTGTTGGAAGCAGTGGGGGAATTGTTGAGTCACATGCTACACTTGAATCTGAAGGTATAATTGACAGAAGCATTCACTATTTTCATGCTGCCTAATAGGTAGCATGCAAATGTTCTAACTTGTACTTTAAGAAATAATTTGACATGATTTATTTGCGGAAGTTCCAGCATTACTCACTAAGATTTTATATTGGCAAATATATTCTGAAAATTGCTAAGATTTTTGCTATGAGCAGAAAATATAATAGGAAAAGACTTTAGATTAAGATGTTTCTGAGTGAAAAGGATTTTAAATGTTTGATTTATGGAAAGTTTTATGACCTTTATATTTTCTTTGCAATCAAGTTCACCTATTCTTTGCTAATATTTATTTTTGAGTTAAACAGGTGCTTTAGAAATAGGTTATAATAATCTCTTTTTCTTTTTTTCCATGCCTACTCTGAAATTGGATGCTTTGTTTTATATTTTGTACTTTCACTCTTTTTTGAACAGTAGCATGTATTTGAATGAATTGTATGCATTTCATTAAATACTGAATAGAAGTCTTTTATACTAAAAACATGAAACAGCTTTTAAATTGTGGTGTGTAATGGTCAATTGTTTTTGCACTTGCTTATGTAAAATAATTCCTGATAGGATCTTTGATTCCGTGATGGTTCTTGTATCAGCTGGTTCTTATGTTCCTGTGCTCTGTTTTTGTTTTTGCTTTTTTTTTTATCTCCTTGCCTTGGCTCTTATTATTCTTTTCATAGTGAATAGTCTCTTCTGCCCCCTTGTTTACACAAAACCTACTCATTCTCCAAGTCCCAGCTCATTTATTTCCATGATGGGTTTTCCCTAAACACCAAATAGAAACTTTTTTTTCTATTTCAAACCCTAAAGCATGATTTTCTGAGCAAAACTCACCCAGCATTTACCCATTCTATCTTACAAGGGTTCTAAGGATTTTTTTAAAGGACTTTTTTTTAAAATAAATTTTATTTTTATATTCCCCATACAATTTAAAGGACTTTTTAAAAAAGATTTATTTATGCATACAAGAACCGGAGTACAGGCCAGATGTGCGGGAGGGTGAGAGGAGTCACACCTGAGAAACGTAGTGAGAAACAGAACAGGTAGACCTACTGAAATACACTGCTGAGGGGAGCAGTGGGCAAGACAAGAGAGGTCTGCCTTGCCATGTGCGTATCTCCCTGGCTGGCCGGAATCAAACCCACGCTGCAGAGGCTGCGGACAATTTCACAGCGCTGCACTCAACCACCTGTGCCACTATGGAGGCCCTTTAAGGATTTTTATAAGGATGTTTGTTTCTTTCCTAACTCTGAAATCCTGGAGAAAAGTAAGATCTTGCACAATAGGAAGAACTCATATTTGTGTGAGTAACAAGTACGAACTTGCAAATAAGTTTAACAGGCAATTAGTCCTAGAGAGGCAGCTAAAGAATACTGGGCAGAACAAAATAACATTCTGAAAGGAAACTACCAGTTTCACTAGAAATGAAGCCAGATTAGGGGAAAAGTAAATAGTCCTTTTGCTGATGGCATTTCAAGCTGTTTCCAGTTCTTTGGCCAATGAATCTGCAAGGAGGGATTGAGTGAAAAGAATTATTGTTCTACTGATGCTACAAAGCCCTTATTCTTTCTCTTCTGAGCATACTGACACGATGGAGTCATCTGTGCTATGAATTTTAGGGACACTAAAATATATTACCCTTTAGGCCAAAATGACTTCTCATATTAACCTTCTAATCCCCACCATTGGTGTGTGATAGAATATGTCCAGACAGCCCCCTTACAAAAGTCCAGTGCTAGTTAGAAGCACTAACATGAAAAATACCTGGCCACACAAGGTTCACCAGCCCCACACCTGCAGCACTGGGGCAGGATGGGGGCCCTTCTGTGTCAGGAAGATTGGGCAAAGAGCACCCTATAAAGACATTCGTGGAGCCAAGAAGTGGAGTAAAAGCCAAAGGCACCAGCCACAGCTAGAAACTCCAGGCAAAATTAAACATGTCTCTTTCACAGATTTCCCTGGAGTTTGGCTCATGACAAGGATCCCCACTCAGAGACTCAGTTTACCTTTATGTCAGTTTGATTTTTCTTCCCAGATGATGTTAAACATACTAAAAAATATAAAAAACCATGTTTCTTATGGTGGCCCTTGTGCATTACCTACAAAGTTACGATATTATGTTAAAGTGGGTTTATCTCACTGAGATGTTTTCTCGCTCCCTCTTCTATAGTACAAAATATTTGTTCCCTTTGGTAAAGTCTAATTCTGCCTCTGACAAATGGTAGTACTTCTTATAACCACGGGAGGGTGTGTGTGAGCCAGCTCCTGAAGGTAGCAACTTGTTCCTTTATTTTCGTATGCCTGAATCTGTCTTCCCTAAGGATGACTAATCCACCGCTCACTCTCCTGGTATGTATTAATTTTGTTACCAAATTTCAATGGAGCAACTTGAAAATATGTTCAGATGGAACCATGTGGGGGCATTTGGAGAAAGGCAGATTTTACAGAGTTTGCCTCTGATGGCAAGTTGGCCAAACAGACAGCCTGAATGTTCAGACTTTTACGTTGTAATTTTTGCCTTTGTAATTTTCATCTGAGATTTAAAAAAAAAAAAAAAAAAAAACCAGAAGATTGTTATTTCTTAGAACAGATTTTTCTCTGAGACTGCCAGGAGCAACTGGGATAGGCAGAAATAAGCTGCAATTTGGTGACATGAAAAGCTGAGGGTATTTGTTTCACTTTCTGGTTCATATGGATAGCTTCATGCCAACACAACCCCACATTAAGATTTCTTCACTCCCTTCCCTTTGTTTTCTGCCTCCTGTATTGCTTTGTTCTCATGTATACTTAAGAGAAAACATTGCTTGTTAATAACAATATCCCAGCATTGGGCCTTCCTGGTGGCGCAAGGGGTTAAGTCTCAGCACTATGAAGCTATTGCCAGCCACTGCAATACTAGTTCAATCCCGGGCCAAGGAGCTACCCACATGGCTCAGCAGACCTCTTCTGTCTTGCCCACTGCTTCCCTCAGCAATGTATTTCAGTCAGCCAGCCTGTTCTGTTCCCCACTCTATTTCTGATGAATCCTCTCACCCACCGCACCTCTGGCCTGTACTCCAGTTCTTGTATGCATAAATAAATAAATCTTAAAAAAACCCAATTCCCAGCATTACTAACTTATGTCTCTTGAGAAAGAAATTATATTAAAGAGAAACAAATCACTCAACATACTTTTCTTTCTTATCACACATTATGTAAATTGTCGAAATCATGTATAATTTTGCATTTCAAGTCCATAAGAATTTTTTTTTTACTTTTAAAATTTTCCTCTTAGTGACTTTCTTACAGAACTGAAATAGACTTGAGAAGAATAATTCTGTTTACCCTTTGTTCTTCCACATAGTCTTGTTTAGTTTTCTCAGTCTGTGCTTGAAATGTCTGAAAGGAAGAAAACAAGAACTAAAACTCCACCAAACATTTACTATTTCATTCATTTCTTCAAATAATAACCATTTCATTTATCTTTCTCTCACTGGGTTGTATTATTCAACGTGGAAGATCAACTGAACAAAAGAAGGTGGACATAGCACATACATGTTTGTTTCAGTATTCTAGAATTGGGTGCCAGTGTTCCTCATCCAGAGGACAGGAGGCGATCTCAATCATAGGACCACATTCGAACACAGGAGATCCACCGAGTTGGAAGGGACATCATCAGGAAGAAGCCCAGCTGTCATTGGTTTCCACTGAAAAGCAAGTCCTCACTGGCACATTAGATTGTTTATCAGTGAACCAAAATCAAAGTTCAAGGATGTAGATAGTATGAGTGCATGGACTGCAAGTTCAGTAATTGCTACTTCAGATGTGATGTTACCAATGTTCCAGCAAGCATAAAGTCATATCATTGCATAGCCAAAGATGGGACTCTATCATTGCTGCCAGCCATCTGAGTAGATATTTCTTTCAGGGAAAGGAAAATGGGGGTGTCCTGAAGATAAGGACAAATGCTGCCTTTTGATCTGACACATACATATCAGAATGTATCAAGGATACCTACCCATGAGCTGTAGATTGGAGGAAAGTCAGAAAGAGAAAATGAATAGACTCGGGCAGCTTCTTCCAGGCTTTTAGGCTAAAATTTAGCCTAAAAGAGGAACCTGATAATCCTAGAGCAAGTCTGCCATGGAAAGAACAGGCATAAAAGTTCTTTTATTCTCCCTATTTTTTGTTTATTTTCCTATTTGTTTTTGAAATTCCTCCCTTATTTCAGATGTGGCTAAGGAATCAGCAGATAGGACCAATATGAGTCCGAATACGTGTGCTGAAGTGGAAGCAGGATCATGGTGTTACTATCAATCTTTTAAGAAAAACCCTCCAGGGAAAGATTATACAAAAAGGTCTTATCCACCTAAAGAACAGTCTTCCTGAGTAAACTTCAAACTTCTGTATTTCCTTGCAACAAGATTCTGGAAATCATCCTGTTTACTTTCAGGCACTGTATTTCTCCTGCTTGCTCTACAAACTACATTCCATGAACAACTCTGTCATGTGACTTCAGTTTGAGTTCAACTGATAGGAGAGTTGGCCTGAGACCGGAGGGTAGAAGGAGAGAGAAGCCCAGTCATGTCCTCCCTGTTCTCTTTATTTGGGGCTGTACAATATTGTGATTAATAAGTGCTAGACCAGATGTGTTTCTTATGCATATTTGATCTTGATCTACTGTTCCATTCTCACATCTCCCCAAAGTCTTGGTATTTCCCAAGTGTTAAGAGTGTTTTTTTATGTGAAATAGTCACCGTGATATTAGGGAAGCACCTAGAGAGGGGACTGAGGCACCATGGACCAATCAAGTGATTACAGAGGTTTGGACCTTCCAATCCCACCTCCCATCCTCAAGGGAGGAAGAGTGGCTGGAGGCTGATTTCAATCGTCAATGACCAGTTATTTAATCAATCATGCCTATGTAATGAAAGGCCAAAAAGAGGAGCTTTGGAGAACTCTGGGTTGGTGGACATGTGGAGATATGGGGAGAATGGCATGCCTGGAGAGGGCATGAAAACTCCGCATCTTTCCCCCCATACCCTACTCTATGCAGCTCTTCCATCTGGCTGTTTTAATATCATTTGTATAAACTGGCAATCTAGTGAGAAAATGGGTTTTCTGAGTGTCATGAGCTGCTCCAGAAAATTAATTGAACCTGAGAAGGGGTTTAGGAACCTCTGGTTTATAAGTGGCCTGTAAGCACAAGCACAGGTGAGAAACTGGATTGTGGCCAGCACCTGAAGTGGAGGGCAGTCTTGGGAGATTGAGTCCTTTACCTGTGGACACTGAAGCTATCTCCAGGTAGAGGCTGATGTCAGAGAATTGCTTGTTAATGAAGGGAAGCCTCCACCCCACCCCCACTCCAAAAATTGGAGTGTCTTAAGACACCTACACAGGCAGCACATTTAAAATATAATCGGATGCATCTTGCTTGTGGTCATAGTTCTTGTTGCTCTTCTCCCACCTACCCCTCCACCCCTACTAACCTCAGTCCGGGGTAGTGGGAGCATCACCTCTTTGTTTCTCTAGTCCAAGGGGCATTATTACCTTCAGTCTTTCGGTTGGTTCACCACCCTTAGTTTGCCCTTTCTGTTTGTGGTATACTGTGTAACTATTCTCCAAATAAAATCTCTCTACTAAACTCTCTTACTGTGAGTTATTTTTTCTTGACTAGACTGTATAGATTCTTTTGGAAATAAACTTAAAATTTGTTCATACAAGTACCCTGTTGCCTGAACTCCAAGGCAGATCCACTTTGCATTCCATTCCATTCTAGAAACAAAAATATAACACCTTGTATTTATATAGCACTTTAAAATTTTTAAACTGCCCATGTATGTGTAATTTCATTTGATTCCTATAATAACTCCTGGGAGATAGACAGTAGAAGAGACAAAATTGGCTACATGTTTACAGCTGGTAGTAGAAATAGAAGAAAGGTGGTATTTTAACCTAAATCCTCTGTCTCAAAGTCCCAAGGGTAAAATAATTAAATTTAAATGGCCTGATATGAAAAAACATATTTAGTATTAAGAGGAAATGTTTCTGAAGTTTATATGAAGTACCTTCTAGGCATATTTCAAATTTTATCCTTTATTGCATTTCTTTCTGGTGTTGGTTGCACATATAAATTTAGAACATTGCATCAGTCTCCCAAAATATCAAAACAGTGAAAATCGTGCTGGAAATAGTGCTAGAGAAGAAAGAAAAGAGAAAAATAAGAAGGGTAGATATTAAGTAAAAGAAAGAAATGAAAGTTAAGGGTAAGGTGTATTTGGAGAACATTCCCAAACACACGCACATACTCATTTATTAAAAACATATAAAGGGGTATAGAGTACTTCTTGATAGAGTTCATGAAAAAATTGTGAACATATGACAAAGCAACTTATAACAAAACCTTTATAGCCTAATTGCATGTAAATATTAATTGAATTACAAGGCCAAATAATCATTTTTTATTTTCTTCCATTTAAAAAATTTTTGAAGGAAACCATGTCATCACAAAATGTCTCTTTGACGTAAAATATTATTTTGAACTGAAGGCAATTAAGTAGAAAATGCAGAAAAACTCCCTTCTTTTTTGCATTATGGCAGAAGAAAAATGTCTCATTTTACTAGAGTTAGACTCATAGCAGGACTGGCAGGGAATCAGAAGAATCTGCAAACCTTGCTAAACAAACCTTTCTTGCTGGAAGATAGCCTAGTAAGACGACCTAGCCCAATTAGATGGCCTTTAGCTCTTTGTCTTGTCAATTCTTCACCAAAATTTGTTGTTTCTTTGTTTAAGAGATATATCATCTTTCTGTTCAGGTCACTTCTTCATTCTCTTGTGAAGGTACCCCATACATATAAAATTTAAATAAAATTTATACTCTTTTCTCCTACTAATCTGTCTTCACGAGTTTAATTTTCAGACCTAGCCAGGAACCCAAAGAGGTTCAAGGAGAACTTTTTCCTCCCTTAAAATTCAATTTGGATTACAATTCCAAATTGACTGACTGACTCAGCATATACTTATTTCTGATCCCACCAGTCAATTTACTTCAGATAATTGTTCACATGGGATCTATGTATCTGGGAAAAAGGTTCACGTTCACTCATTTATCATTCTGAATTTTGTCTCTGTCCTGAATGAGCCTCTTTCATTTGAAATACGTAGCCCTTCCCACCACTTGGCTGTTCTCCCGGGCTTGAATGTGGCCCTGAAATGGAGAAGGCATTGTTTTCCTCTGGGGAAGAACGCTGGCACTACTTGTGACCAGTGGTCACCGGGTTGATGTTTTCATAGCACATTTACTGGAAAATGGAGAGTGCCACTCCAGCTGTTCCTTGGAATATGTTGCTCAAAATAGACTCATCCTCAGCTGGTGGGATTGAGCTGGGTCAGCAAGAGCAACTCTATCCCCATCATGCATGACACATGCCTCTGGGGTCCCAGTTGAGCCAGGTGAGGGGCTTGGACACAGCAGATGTCTATTTTGAGCAGAATATCCCCCACAGGACTGACTGGCAGACATTGTGCACAGAGAGAACCTGCTCTCCTCAACTTCTGTCCTCACCGGATGGCATGGCTCAGGCTGGTCAGTGGGTTACCCAACTGGTCACCCACACTCTCAGAACCTATATTTAAGAACTTCTGGCAACAGAGTGACTACTTGTTTCCATGATTCTCCAACAAAAGAGGTTACTCTGAAAAGTTAGGATGCTTTTCAGACATTATCTAATTAGCAATGTGTCTGTATTGCAGAAAATATCTGTAACACTCAGCATTTTCACAAGATAATTTAGTCACATCCTGACTACTCATCTGGGTGAGTCAGAGTAGAAAAGACACAAAAGGAAATAAGAGCTTGATTTGGTTAAGCTTAGAGGTACGTCTTCCCATCTCTGGGTAGAGGAAGTCATTAGCAGAATCCCAAAGTGTTGGGATGTTACAAGAATTACCAAAAAAGTTCTCACTCCTTTGTGGCGCTCTCTATTTAGAATATCGAGTTAGTTAGCCTTATAATATTCAAATTATATTCTCTGGTTTTTAGTAAAATACTGAAAAAATCTTTTGAAACGTTATAATTTGTGCATTATTCATCAACATCAGCAGATTTGAAATACTGTGGCTGGCTATAGGTTTTTTCAAATAAACTCTGTTGGTGTTTTTTTAATGACGATGTGGTGACAGCTATAACTCGTCACTGGTTTATCGAAGGCCCCCTGGTGACAGGCATTTGTGCCAAGGGTCGATATTTTCTCTTTGTTTCTTATTTTAATGTAACTGACTTAGATAAGGATTGCTTAAGAGGTTGCTTAAGAGGAAAATAGATAAAGAGATTGAATTTGTTATATAATTGAATTTGTAAATGCTTACTGGTGCTGCCCAGGTCAGACCAAAAAGGAGCAGTCCAAAACAGATAAAATGCATCTTTAAGAATCTCTGTAAGAAAGCAAGAACATTTTAACTAAAGCATTGCCAACTATGAATTGCAGTAAAAAAATAAATAAAACACACAGGAATATATAAACAGGCTATTTCCCTTAATAGTCCATTTCTTTTTGTTAAAAAAAAATGTGTATATATAATTTTTTATACCCTGGTGTGACTATTTTAATATAAGAACTTTCATAGGTCTACTTATTCCAATGTGAAAATGAAAAATTTTCAATATTATTAAAACAATTAAATCAGTTAATTAAAAAATGGATTTTGTAGACATATTTATTTGTTCTATCATCAATGCAAATTTTTCCCTTTCATCTTTAAAAGGATATGATTTAGTTAAATTATATACTTTATAATGATGTTGTTAGTACAACAGATCATAACAATTTCCTTAAATGAGTTTGCTGGGGAATCAGGGTTCACTGTGGGAAATGAAATCATATCCCTGCCAGGTTAGTGCTCCAAAATATGTCATTATATTCATGAGCAATGTATTTGAGTTTGTAGCCATTCATAGGTTAAAGAGTGAAAAATAACTTATATAATTATTGATAACATTTATTGAATACAAAAATGAGCCAAACACTGATGTAAAAATTTTACACATATTCATCTATTTGATCCTCACAACAACCCTGTGAGTCAATGTTATTACTACTCTTATTTTATAGATTAGGAAATAGATGGAGAATGCAAATAAATCGAGTATTGCAGGAAGAACTAAGATTAGTATTCTAGCAATATAGCTATAGAGCTTTTTGTTCTTAATCAAGATTCAACCAAGATTGAATAAGCTCCTGTTCTTTTATATTATTAAATAATATATAATCTGTATTACTGTATTTTTATAATATGTATATATAATCTGTATTGCTGTATTTTATATAATCTGTATTACTAAATCTGGGAGTTTTAATGAACTATAAGTGCATTACAGACAGTGACCAATATGCAAATAAAAAATTTACACCACTCTTTGAGATGACTTAGGGAGAAGGGAGTTTTAATGGGAGAGATAACCTAAATGCTGCTGTAATCTTTAAACATTTCAAAATAAGGCTTTATCTGCAGAAATAAATGTAATTATTAATATATCTTAAAATCTTAGATAATTCTCTTCTAAATTAATATAATTTCAAGGACCTTCATTCTTACTATAGTCTTATAACAGAGTTTTTTTATAGATTAGGATAATATCATTAGCCAAATGACTTAAAGCTGATCAGTAGAAACATCAGCATAGATGACCCTTGGAAGTATGCATATGATCAGCTTATCCTTATTTTGGCTTGTATGTGAAAGCTTAAAGTAAAATTTGGATTTCTGAGTTATTGTGGCACTTGGTCATGCTGATAGTCAAATCAAAAAGAAATCTACTAAGTTGTCAATTTTAGTTGGTAAATTCTGGAGTTTGACAATGGTAACACACTTTCTATTTCTTAAAACAAAACATTAAATATTGAACAGTTGTGGTCAGTAGAGAATGCTTCTAATTTGCATTATTTCCAAAAGCTCTCTCCCTACCTAACTGGCATGCATTCGAAAATGTAAATAATTGCTTTAGAAGGCAATTTCTATCAAGAACACCAAGAAAGTGAAATTACCTGGTATCCGTGACCTTCAGAATACCTGACTTCTTCTTCAGGATTAGCAGTTCCTGAGTATTTTGCCGAAATTTAAAGTTTGTTAGATTTTCCAATGGCCAATCAGCAATGACTCACCTAGCACTAGCACAATTTGTTACCAGTGACCACAGATAACCATAGGGGGCAAAGTAATTTTAATCTAAAAATGTTTCTGTGGTAGAAAGCTGCTATCAAATGTTCCATAAAGTGGGGCAAACAGAAAATATAAATACCTCGGTTTGGTATATCATGTTGTCAGATAATCAAAATTGACTTCAGAACTATTAAATGGGACTGACTGAATAACACAACACATTTATAAATGGATAACTTTCCAACTGTCCTTTTGTATATAAAATTTATAATTTCAATTTTGTCTGAATGAAATTCAGCACATTTAACAAAAATGTATTGAGTATCTATGATGTGTCAGGCATCGGGGAAGTAGGGAACAAAGCAGATGTACCAAAAATATCCCAGTTGTCATGGAGTTTATAATCTGGTGGGGAGACAGACAATAAATAAGTAAATAAATATTAATTATGTTAGATAGTGACACAGACTAAGTCTAAGATGAAAAAGTTTGCAAGGAGGGGGATAACCAGATTGAGAGTGGAGACACTGGGGTGAACTATAAAGGGAGCATTGGAAACATGTTGAGAAAGTAATTTTTTTTTAAATAATAGATTTTATTTTTATATTCCCCATACAATTGCAACCCCCCCATTCTGACCCCAATCCCTCCCCTCCCGCCCCCCACCCCCCAAAAAGTGTCTCTGGTTCATAGTTTTTGTTGATTTTGATTTTCACTTTCTTATAGTTATTCATTTTCCTGGTCCCTTATTTAAGTTTTCTAGATTCCTGCTATGAGTGAGACCATCCGGTATTTTTCTTTTTCTTTCTGGCTTATTTCGCTGAGCATGATCCCTTCCAGCGCCATCCATGTTGCTGCAAATTGCATGTGTTTATCTTTTTTGAATGCTGAGTAATATTCCATGGTGTATATGTACCACATCTTCTTGATCCAGTCATCTATTTTTGGGCATTTGGGCTGTTTGCAAAGCTTAGCTATTGTAAACAGTGCTGCTATAAACATAGGGGTGCAGGTGCTCTTTGGAATGGATGTTTCTGTGTCCTTTGGGTAAATACCTAGGAGTGGAATTGCTGGATCATATGGAAGCTCTATGTTTAGTAGGTCCAGAAATCTCCACACAGCTCTCCATAGTGGTTGGACCAGTTTGCACTCCCACCAGCAGTGCAGAAGAGTTCCTTTTTCTCCACACCCTCGCCAACATTTGTTGTTGCTAGTTTTTTTAATATGTGCCATTCTCACTGGTGTAAGATTGTATCTCATGGTAGTTTTGATTTGCATTTCCCTGATGACAAGTGATGTTGAACATTTTTTCATATGCCTGTTGACCATTTGCATTTCCTTTTCAGAGAAGTTTCTTTTTAGCTCTTCTGCCCATTTTTTGACTGGATTATTTTCTTTGTTGTTGTTGAGTCTCATCAGCTCTTTGCAGATTTTTGTGATCAGTCCTTTATCATTAGTGTTGTGTGCAAAAATGTTCTCCCAGTTGGTGGGGTTTCTCTTTGTTTTTGTTATTGTCTCTTTTGCTGTGCAGAAGCTCTTTAATTTGATGTAGTCCCAGCTGTTTATGTTTGCCTTCACTATCACTGCTTTGGGTGATGTGTCTGTAAAGATGTCTTTGATGTGAATATCACGTAGTGTTTCAAGGACCTTCATCCTATATTTCTTTCTATGTATTTTATGGTTTCAGGTCTTATGTCTAGTTCTTTAATCCATTTTGAGTTGATTTTTGTGTATGGTGTGAGGTAGTGGTCAAGCTTCATTCTTTTGCATGTAGTGACCCAGTTTTCCCAGCACCATTTATTGAACAAACTGAGAAAGTAATTTTTAATAAGATTCTGTAGACTTTATTTAGAAGAGAGTTCTAGGCTTAAGGAAAAGAAAGAGAAAATCTCCATGGTCAAGAGACTGCTGGCTTGTTCCAGGAATAGAGAGAGAGATCAGTTTGACTTAAGAGACTGAAGGAAAGAAATAGCAGGAAATGAGGTTAGAAGGTATCAGATGGCAGGTGATATAGGGCCTGTGTGTTATCTCAAGGCTTGTGCCTTTATACTAAGTGGGAAGGCAGCC